GCAGCTGGGGGCAGGAGGGGCACGGGACGGTCCACGGGACGGTCCACGTTTCTGATGAGGTTGACAAACTCCCTCTGGTTGTTGATGCCTTCTTCCTGTGGGACGGCCTGCTGCTTTTTCCGCTTTCGATGGAGGTGTGAAAGGATGAAGGCGCAGGCCGCACAGCCACAGACCATCACTAAAGCTAAGACCCCCACCAGGATAATGTAGAAGCTGATTCCCCCGTGTGTCGTGTTAGACATGGCACCTGCGGACACAGAGGCAGCGAGGTTAGATGAGACTTCATAGAGATTTTGTACTTTTTAAGACACACAGACACGTTTTAATTACCTGGACAGTGCTGACCAATGCAGGGATTTTTGAGGCTCATGCACTCGTTACCATAGTAACCCTCAGGGCAGGCACACATGTATCTGCCCTCTGTGCTGTGACAGGGTGCTCCCTGCTGGCAGGGGTTGGGATTGCAAAGATCCAATGCTATCTGAAATAAAGAAATAAAGAAGAAACCAATAAAAAAAGAGTAAGAGAGACTTGTAATCTACTAATAAATTACCCTATATAGGTTTCTAGCAGTTAAACTAGCATTTCTGTGGCTAATTGTAGCATTGTTATGATACTAATTCTGGTAACCAATTCAAATAAATATGAGACATCTGGCCCCAATGTTTATTAACTCTCTCTCTATTTCTATGTGCCTAACAGTCTCCCTGACATTTTCCAAGTTTTCAATTATTATTATTATACTTTTTGTCTCTGATTATATTTTTAAATTTTTTTTCCCATTATACTTGATCAGATAGATAAGAACTGCACACATCCAGTTTTATAATTGTGTGTCTTTTACTATGATGTTTTCATTCTGCAAACTAAACTAGACTTAAAGGTCCAGTGTGTAGGATTTAGTCGCATCTAGCTGTGTAGTTACAGATTGCAACTCCGTCATTTCAAGGCCCACGAAACATTATGAAACCGCATTTGGTTTGTCCCTTCTGGGTTACTGTAGACACATGGTGGTTAAACATAGCAAACTCGGTGGAAGGCGACCTGTGGTGTCTCATTCTAAGGTAAAGTAAACACACTGATACCTATATTCAGTCTATTATACACTGCTGCAAACATACCTCTGAATATTATAGTCCATTAATGCCAATAGATCCTTATAAATGTTACACACTGGACCTTTAAGCTAATAACATCTATGACGGTTGTCTCACCTCACAGAAGATTCCTGAATATCCCATGGGACAGTTGCAGGTGATGGTCCTTCCCTCCTTCTCCACACACTGTCCTCCATGCAGACAGGGGGCGCTGTCACAGGGACTCGGACCATTTTGGCAATATTTTCCCAAGAAACCAGGTGGACACAAGCATCTGGACCCTGACACCTGGTCCTGTGTGGGACAGTATATAGTGTTTGTTATTTATATGTATGTAAAACAGAGACAGCAACGATTATATGAAATGGGGAAAAAGGAAACTAAGGAGAGAAAGGGGATGCCCATCATAGACTACTGCTGCTGGCAATGAAACATTTGCCCCTTTGAGAATAAATACTGCTCCGATCTTGAGGCAAAACAACGTCAGAAAGAGATTTTTATTCCCAGAAGAAAGACGGAAAGGCCTTGGGCATTAACACAAGAACAGTGTTTTCAAATGATTCACTTTTCAAAACTTAGTTGTGTTTGAATTCTTAATTTTAAGGAACAAATAAAGGAAATATAATAAGACTACAGCGAATATGAGCGAGTGAGAGGGAGACAGTGAGGCTGGTCAGTGTTGTGACTGATATGCAGAGACGACAGGCAAATTAAACAGAGACAGAAGGGCAGGAGTCAGGAGTCTTACCTCACAACGTCCACCGTTCAGACACAAACCCTGACAGCTGCTGTTCCCTAGAAATCAGAGAAACCTGATATATGAATCTGTTACACAGAACTCGGACATGTACGCAACTAAGATGCTCTAAAACAAAAATATATAAAGTGAAAAGAGAGAGATAACAGTAAAAAAGTTCTTATTTGTTAGTGTTTAATATCTGGTGTATTTCAGTGATACACTGTGACAGATGACTAAAAAGATCTCCTGGCTGCTGTTTAAACACAATCCACGGAGGCTCTTCATGTTTCACTACCTGCCACAGGACGGATCGGTTCTTCCTCCTTTTATTCCTTTTATACTCACTGATGTCACAGTTAGGCCCCGTCCACCCAGGAAGGCAGTCACACAAGTATCCACCGATCAGGTTGCGACAGGAGCGGGCGTGGATACATATACTCATTTCACACTCGTTGGTGTCTGAAAGGAAAAAAGAAAACGTTTCTAGAAATACTGATCTGATGATAAACATTTCATCTGTACTGTGCCTGATAGATCTCAACCAGTGATAAACCAAACCGCTAATCACTGATACCAGCATCTTATATTAACAGTTCCTTTAATTCTCCGTGCCTTTGACATTCGACACGCTTCAGGCTCATATAACACAACAAGATAGCGGCTGAAGGTTTTATTCTTTTGTGCAGATTATTGTTACCCAGCATCTGAAACACTTATGTTTGTGTGTGTGTGTGTGTATATGTGTGTGTGCCTCTTGATGTCCACATACTTTACATCAGTATTCAGCTCATGTGTATTTCAATCATTAAATTCATAATTTGAATCCCGGAAATGTATTTTTGTTGTGCTGATAGAACAAGAAGCTTATTAGTCTTTTTTAGGTTGCTGTTTCAGAAGTTATTATGCAGGAAATATGTTAACAGGAAATGAAATGAAAGGACACAAAGGATGGAAGTCAAATATATGTTAATAAACCAAAACAGTTTTGTTTCAGAACCACAATAATTCAACTTCTCACTGATACATCCTATAAAACTACTGAATCTAACCCTGTGTGTCTCCTACTGGGCCCCCCGACAATCTTTAGCCACCAGTTAAACCAAAGTTAAATTTAGTTTTGAAGTGGATGCTTTAAACCGTGAAGTAGAGAATTGCCTGGCAGCAGGACGCACACCAACACTTGACAGAGTGCTTGTCAAATATTATGCTTACAAATGCACCGCACATCCTAAGTAATGCCCTGCAGCCTCTTCTTACATCTTTGTTTATGCACAGATCCCCCTGCTGTACCACTGCTTTTGTTAAGTTTATGTGTGCCTGTTCCCACCCTCTGTCACACTGGGACTGTAAAAGCCAGGAACCCCCGAGGGCTTGGCTCTGATAGCAGAGGAAGAGGATTAGAAAGAAACGCTGAATGAATAAAGAGGAAGTAGTCAGTCAGTTATAGGTAATCTAAACCTGTTACCGTCAGTGAAAGACCTATTAGGATTTAGCACCGGGGGAGTGTATGTGTGTATATATGTGTGTGTAT